AAACAACCCACTGTCTCTCACAGCCTTCAGAGGGCTGATCAGCCTCCAGAGGCCCAACACCTGTCTTACTATTTCAGTCACCTGGTTTGTGACATGTTATGGCAGCCTTAGCAAATATACACAGTCAATAACGTGTGATTAATAAAAAAAAAAAAAACTTAAATCTACCCTTTAACTACATGACCCTGAGCAAGAGATTTCTCTCAGCAGAATTTTCTTCTTCAAAACTACCAAAGCAATAGTAGTACTTCCTCCTGGTACCATGGACAGAGCTAGACCAGACAATTCAAGTACAACAAATGACATGCATTTTGGCTTCCAGGTATGTGAGCAATACTCACTGGGTTTTCCTTGCCATGGCACCAGCCCCAAGAGCACACTCACTGTCTGGGAGGGCAGAATCACCCTGGGTGATTCTCCAGTGCCTGTGCCCAATAATTCCTCCATGCATGGATCTTCACACAAGCAACTGCCCCAGCCCTGGAATAAGGAACTCTTTTCTTGCTTTAAGTTTCAGGACAGCAAAATAGGGAAGTAGCGACTCCAACCTGAGACATCCTGAGCGGCAGTGATCAATTAGGACGGTATTCTATTTTCTCTTTTTAACTCCCAAGCCGTAAAATCAGCACAGAAAGTTAAGTTACATCAGCATAGCTGCTTGTCCGGAGAGCTGGGCTTTTGAGTTTGCAAGATGCTTAGAGAACAAAAATCCTTTTGGTTAGGGGGTTAGCAGGAAGGGAAGTCCAGCATTTAGAACACTGGGTAAGAGGTCCTCATTAAATACCTCCCTGACTGAGTCTGACCTGACTCCGGTTACCTGCTAGTGCAGACCTTTGCAGGCCACAGTGATGACTCGCGTAGTTGAATTCCAGCAGCCCACACGGAAGACCTGAACTCCAAATCCCCAGCTCGCAGGCTCAGCCCAGCACAGTTCTGGCTATTACAGTCATTTGGAGACAGACCTAGTGAACAGAAACAGCCTCACTCCCAGCCCCCAATACAATCTCCATCTTTCTCTTTCTCCTGCTGCCTCTGAATTTTTTTTGAAAGAATCTTCCTTGATAATTAATATTTTCTTCGCCCCCAACACAATCTCCATCTTTCTCTTTCTCCTGCTGCCTCTGAATTTTTTTTGAAAGAATCTTCTTTGATAACTAATATTTTCTTCTTCAAGGGATAACAGTAGCTTAATGTTCTGTTGGATTTGTTTCACTTGCAAAAGTTACTTTCATCTTGCTTTAGTGACTCCTTCAAACTTCACTCAGCAAAGGTACCGTAATAATCACCATGTGTATTGTTATCTTTCTGTAGTAGAGTTAATGAACATTAAACACTGCATTACATCCTCTCATGCCGGTGGACATTGATGAACACCAAGAAAATGAAGTCAGTTTTTAATATCGTTTGCTTTCTTGCATTAATTTTCAATTAAACACTGCCAACATTAAGACAGCATTATATGTGGCATTTCACGTTGGGCAAATATTAAAGTCCTGAACAACCGTTAAAAAAAAATACCCTCTCATCTGGCAAAAGAATAATGCAGGGCTCAGCAGTTGCATCCTACCTGCTTCGCTAAATAACCATGTAAACAAAAATGAGCCAGGAGCTTAAAATGTATCTTTATATTGCAGCAAAAATAAATATTTGGAAACATAAATATTTGGCCAAACATGTCTCTCCTCAACATTCAGTGATGCTTCAATTATTCCCTCTGGGCTGCTCCTTCTTTCTCTCCACAACATGAATCAAGAGATTCTTGGAGAGGCCCACTTCTCAGTACCATGTGATCAAAATTTCATGAAACTACACAACTGTGGTTATCATGTTCATTCTAGCCTGTTATCCTGTCCTTATCAGTTTAAAATGCAGTTAATTACACATGTTATGCACACCGGGGTCAAAAGTTCTAACACATACATCAAGTAGTGGTGGCTCTGCAATCACACAATATGATGAAGGCTTGAAAAAAAAAGGAGCGAGCCCCATATCCTGCGTGTAAAGGCGTCCCTTGTTAATACTTGGTGTTCTCAAAGTCTTGAGTTCACAAAGCTAACCCAAAATCTTGGCCAACCTGCACTGGATGCCACCTCAACTCAGGATTTCATCAACACTGGATTTTACCTCAGCTCTCCTTTGATGAGGAAACAGGTACAAGGCGTGGAGAAGATACACGACACACCAACTCCAAAGGGAGACCAAGAGGGCAGGATGGTTTTCAATGTAAGCACTTTTTCATGTATTCAGTCATGGTGGCAACCCTTCATGGTTCCTCTTCAAATGCACTCTATGAGCCCATGTTCCCCACTGTAGACCCACTTGGTAAAGCATCCCCTAACTGTATGTACTAGAACAATGAGTATGATGATTAATGACCCATGGGACAGCAAATCGTAGGTACATTTTTAACATCAATTTTCTTGCTACCCTTACTGAAGAATTAAAATGATCTGACCTTTACAAACTGTGGGAAAATGATTATAAAAAGATTATTTGGGGACACGGCGCAATAGTATAATGATTAAGTCCTCGCGTTGAACGCGCCCAGGATCCCATATGGGCACTGGTTCTAATCCCAGACACTCCACTTGCCATCCAGCTCCCTGATTGTGGCCTGGGAAGGCAGCAGAGGACAGCCCAAAGCCTTGGGACCCTGCACCTCTGTGGGAGACCCAGAATGAAATTTCTGGCTCCTGGCTACAGATTGGCACAGCACCAGCCATTGCAGTTGCTAGGGGAGTGACTCATCTGACGGAAGATCTTCCTCTGTCTCTCCCCTTCTCTGTATATCTGACTTTCCAATAAAATAAATAAATCTTTAAAAAAAATTATTTTGATTCAGAAAGTTTCAAAATGTATAGACTTTTCAGAATATACATTTTCCATGAACATTCTGAAAATTCCCCATAGAAAAATTCTACTATTACTGCTATTAATATTATATTAAGGCCAGAAAGACACAAACATAATTGGGTTATATGTATACACATATGAAAGGTTTAATATTTCTATACTATAGTTTTTATACTGCATAGTTACACGCTTTGTTTCATTATTTTTTCAAGTTTTAAATTGTGAAACAGCAGAAAAAGAGTGAATGTAAGATAGAGGTTTAATTCACTAGTTCAGGACTAGCCCAATCCAGCAGCCCAGCACTCCAGCTGTGTCTCCAACATGAGTGGCAAGGATTCAAGCACTGGGGTCACCACCTGCTTTCTCCTAGGGTACACAGTAGCAGGAAGCTGTAATCCAAAGTGGAACCATGACTCAAGCACAGAGGCTGAAATGGATGTAGACATCCCAAGGAACACCATAACCACTAGGCTAAACAGCCTCCACTAGCATTTAGTTTCATTAAATCACACTGATAAAGTGATCACATGTTTAATATAAATAGTGACACAGCTGATCTAAAATCTATTACATAGGGAAGAGTTCCCAATGCCACAAAAACTGACTTGAAGACAACGTGGATCCACACAATCATGTCAGATGTCAAGAACAGCTTCTGGAATCCAAACTGCTATGAACAGCAATGAAACGCAAGATATTCTAAGCAAAACCGAGTTCCCGTGCTCACCTGCACGTGGCTCCCCTCATGTTCTTTCCTTGAGTTTCACAACCTCAGTCACCTCTGAATGAACACTGCCAGGCCTCTAACCAAGAACTGGAAGAAATGGGAAGCTGGGGTGTCCTCAAACTGGAATGCTGTGAATGCATGAAAACAATGAAGAAACTTCTAGGGAGAAAGCTCAAAAGCACTCTTCAGGGGGAAATGGCGAGGCATAGACCACATGTAGCACAGTGTGCTGTCTCTTAGGCCTCACTGAAGCCCTTAAGGAAATGGATTTGAACTATTGTTGTCTAGGAAAGAAGGAAAGAACTAGTTGTCCTTGAAGTACTGCTCTGTTAATTGTTAACTGTAAAGGAATAAAGGGGGAAGAACAAAGAAAGAGAAGCATCTCAAGTATGTTGCCATTTTTCCTTCGGGAAAATCAAGTATATCTGCAATAACAACTGAAATTTTGTGATTGGAACTTCTGACCACACTCTCTTAGCATAAACAGGGCAAGCTGATGCCAACACTGCAAACAAACAGCTTCCTTCTGCTGAGCAGCTTTGCCCTTGTAACATGACCTCCACGGAGTCACATCCTAAGTCACACTGTGTGGACCTGATGCAGAGTTCCCTCTAGCACTTGTTTCCCTCTGATTTGCATTTCATATTTGAACCTGATTTACATTTTCAGCAACTTGTGAAACACTGTTGAAACAGAGAATGAAAATGGCAGTGTGGCAAGTCACATTAGCGAGGTACAGAAGAACCCAATGGTCCCAGTTACTACCTGTTGTCCAAGACAAGCGGTAACAAATCAAATCACCTCCTGTAGCTCATTGTGTTCTTGTCTTAATCATCAGCATTTTTAGAACCTATACAAATGACAACAAGTTGAAGTTTTCAAACCACAATGGAAACAAAGAGCCGTTTCATTTAATAATCTTGATAAGTATATCCTATTTGTAATCTTTGAAAACCATTCTTCCCTCTCAATGAAAACAAAGCCTATCTTCTATCCTAATACTACTTTTATTCTTCTCATTGTTTGCTTTAAGCAATGGAACATATATTAACATTTCCATATTGAAGGATATAAAAACAAAGGATGAGTAATTCTCTGGTATCCAACAGAGTCAATCAAACATTACCTTAAACAGGGGTTAGGCATGAATAACTAGTTACATGTGTGTTATGTGCCTGTCACTGCATTAGGGGCTGGGAATTTAGAGCAAATAAATAAGGTCTCACTTTCACTCAACTTACATCTGGGGGAAGAAGTCATCCACAAATAGTTTCATAAAATGATATGGCCATATAGATTCCATATAGAATCTGATTTATGAACAGTCAGCAGTAATGGAAACTGTCTAGAATACAGGGCAGTTTTCTTTCTATTTCAGGAATGATGCTAGCTCTTAGGGTATCTATGTGAAAGGATGTTGAAGGAAGTCACTCTGCCAGGCCTGGCATGCCTCTGCATTTCCACAGTTGTAAGAACTAAACTCCTAACTGGTTCAAACCACTATGGATTTGGCTTTGAACTCCACCCAAACAAGATCAGATATATATTACATTTGGGGACCAAATGGATCTACCATTAATAAAAGGCTGTTAAGACTGTAAAAATGCCACTTGCGTGTCAATACAATAAGGATGGAAGTCACATTTTAAAAATATGCTTATTTTAAAGCTAATGATAAAATTCTGAGGGATGTTTATGTAATATAACTAAAAGGGTTAATGTAAAGAACTTGATTTTCACATTTACATTTCAAAAGTAAACCTGAATTCAAACCAATCCTTTTAAAGAGAAGGGTTTAGTTTCAATGATTTGCATAAGGTAGAGAATGCAGGCCACACTTTATATTTTATAAATATAAGCTATTATAAATACAAAATGAAAAAAAAAAGGCTGATATATTAGCTATTATGAAGGATGAAAACATTGTATAAATGTTTACATACTATATGCATCCGCATCAGTGTGATCTGACAGTTCTCTACCAGTTTCATTTACAGACAGAAACTCTAAACAGATCATCATTCATGTTCATGCTCCCACGTGGGAAGTGGTAGGTGAATATCTGTAGGAATACAATTTATTGTCTGCTCCACCACTCAGAAGTAGTCCTGTGTCTGTCCAGTCAACACTCAACACTTTGTCTTCATGAGCAGCCAGGTCATAAAGAGAAGCCTTACAACTTCTTATATCCCATAGCTTGACCATATTGTCTAAAGAACCGGAAATCAGCTGCTGCTCATGAGTGGGAGACCACTTTACTGATGTGACCCATCCAGTATGTGAAGTTAGGGACAGTGACACCAAAGCACCATCTTTAGTTCGGGGATCCCACAGTCTTATATGCCTATCTGTGCTTCCAGAAGCTAAACGTTTACAAAGTGGAGAATAGGAAATACAATTAAATACTTTATTTCCTGTCAAAGTTGACTTAAGACTGCCAGACTCAACATCCCATACTCTAATTGTATGATCCCAAGAAGCACTGCAGATTTCTTCAGTATCTGACCACAGAACTGAGGATATTGCTTCTTTGTGGCCGGACAGAGTCACAATGGGAGTCCTTGTTAATCCCAACTGCTCTGTTTTTTGCTTTTTCCTTGGTCGATTTGTAGATTCTTCCACTTCGTCTTCTTCATCTGTAGGGACTGTTGACCAGATCTTTAGCATCTTATCCCAAGAGCCACTGCAAAATTTAGTGCCTGAGCTGTCCACAGCGATGGACTCCACACTTCCCGCGTGACCCCTGCAGCAGTGCAGGGCTTTCACTTTGTTTCTCTCCACATTCCACTCCCATAGGAGAATGGTCTGATCCATAGAAGCACTCAGTAATAAGCATGACAAACCGTCTTTTTTCACCCAGGCCACATCTTTTACAACATCGGTATGTCCTGCAATTGTCATGATCGACTTTCCTTCCAAGGACCAAATTCGTGAAGTCTTATCATAAGAACCAGTCAAGATCCATTCCTCTGCTCCTTGCACTGAACTGATCCAGTCATCGTGGAGCATGCACTGCTCTGGCTGAGGTGCAGTGTACTTCTCAACATACTCCAGCTCCACGACTTCTTCCGATGAGATATTCTCCAATTCCATGTGTTTGACCAAAGGCATTCGCAGAAACTGGCCCTTGATAAGGAAATCAAACTCCACATGTTTGTGGAATTCATTTTTGCCCTCCAACAACTTATTGATAATGTTACTGAGGTCAGCAATTTCAGAGGCAGCAGGTATTGAGAAGGGAACATCATCAACTGCATATTTCTTGTTTTCCGCGTCTTGCGCCATGTGCCCAGGACCACCTAGAGTCGAGGCAGAATCGAGAAGCCAGTTTTCTTTCTAACAGAAGTACTACAGCAGTACAGAAGGCCTTGCGGGATCTGGATGCAAAACCGTTATTTCATGTTCCATTCTTACCCCAACTGTGTAATCCAATACTACCCACTGAATTACAAATGTGCCATACTAGGAAAAAATATTGTGGCATATTTCACTAGTCCCTGACAGAAGTCCAAACCAGTTAACACTGGCATGCAAATAACCTTCACATCCATTACATTAAAATATCAAAGCCTTTGACATACCTTCCTGACACATAAGGTAAAGTTTGTAAAACCTCTTTGTCCAACATAAATATCCAAATTACCACAACTGTGCTTATCGCACCAACACTAGCTTGACTGTTTTTCCTTTGTAACCTGGGCAGTCCTCATGATATCACAACTGGCACCCCAAGGTCTGAGGCCCAAGGCCGCCACTCAGTACCCCTGTGCTGAACTCTTTTCGGAAAAAGGGTGAAGACTGCACCACAAAGCAACTGTCACTCAACAGATGGCAATGTTCCACAAAGCCTACTCACTGCTCAAATCAGAAATGTCGCAGGATTCGTCCTCAGATGCCTACCTCGGAAAATCATTCTTACCTTTTTCAAATCTGTGATTTACTGGGCCGCATTCTATACTAGGGCCTGCATTCAATCAACAAGAGAGAGTACAGAGTGTACAGGGAATCACACATCCGTCCACTTAAGATTTTACATTCAAGGACAAGTATTTGAAGCAAGAGAATCAAGCATCAGACAGCTGACAGAGACTTTCTGATGAAACTCTAGGTTCTCTGAACACAGTGAATATTCTTGGATGTCTCCGACCTTATACAATTACGTATTTACTTTGTAGCTTGCAAAGTTTAGAATAAGTAATTTAAAAAATTCTACAGAAGAAAACAAATTTTAACTTGTCAAATGTTACACTTTCATTCCATCATAATTACTATAAAAAATTAAAATATAATGCTACATAAGGTATAATCTCAACTTTGTGAAGTAAATCTAAATGGAAATTGTTTTCAGTGCATATCTACTTGCACATAAGAAAATGACTTCAAGAAGATGCACTAAATTATTTTTATGATTGATTGATTGATTGATTTGAAAGGTAGAGTGATGGAGAGGAGAGATGGAGAGAAGCTGGCCTCACACATTAAACTCCACCAAAACATAAAACAAGAGCACTTGCAGAACTGGACTTTGGTCACCCCCGCTGTGAAGGAGAGGGACCATGACAATCAAAAGAACTCCAGTATTAAGAGCTATTGAATTTGTTATGATTAAAGACAAGTCATTGCTGGGCTTCAGTGTGTTAACAGGAGAACCATTTTCTGCTACCCCAAAGGGCAATTCAGAGAGTATTTTTCAAATGAAAAGGAGTGAGGGATACAGTTTTTTGACCAAATGGTAACAACGCATGTGACTATATAACTCCTAACAGAGAGCATCAGATTTTAAAATAGCTATGTAAAGAAAAGACAGAAAAGAAATAAAAGTCTAACAGGTAACTCAAGTCTTTGACCCTATGTAAGATCAAGATTCCACAACAACAAAGGGAAAAATGAGAAAATGTGAGAAAAACAAATGCTTTCTACCCCGATCTGAAAGAAAAACTTAAGTGACTCCTCCTATTTTGACAGAGCCTAAACACAATTTTATTTTCTGAGCACAAATTTTGACTTATCTTGCTCATTCTTCCCAAAGCAACAAGCTTTTACCAAATAAATACTGAAAGTTCTAAGAACAGATTTAAAGGTATTTAGGAAAATTAAACTATATTACAAAGGTATGTAGGACAGACGGTCAGATGGCTAAATCTCTATATCATAATCCTATCTGAAACCTGAAACCCTCAGTTTAATCCAAATTTTCTTATTGTATGAAGCATGAATTCAATAACTGCTTATAATATAAGAAACCCAACAATTATTTCAAAATATCACTGAGAGTATTGCAGTTCAAAGACCCCAAGAATATAATCTTTTTTATCATGCATGGACTTGACCATGCATTTGTTGCGATTCTTTGAGTTGACGCCTGTGTCCCGATCTACTCTGTAACCTCCAGGCCCATGAAGATCAGTCAAGCAGGAATGAATGTCTCTTTCTTGTTTACAGATTTAATCACACGTCAGCAATCTTTTAACAAGAAGCTTCAGGGGTGCAGCTGCTGTCAGGCGTGTCCAGAAAGATAAAACCTTGTAGCAACAACTATTACCATTCAGCATCAAAATCCAGTGGAATTTGCTCTGCACGTTTCAGATTAGTTTGGAATTCAAGGCCCACGTTTTCTCTCAGGTTTCTCCTTATGGAATGAGTGCCCAGCCCATCTATTACATAGGTTCACAGCTGGAGAAGTCTTATGCAAAGTATGAAATCACACCAACTGATTTATGCAAGATTCTGAACTTTAAAGTTGGTGCCAATGGGTAAGACTTGAGGGAGTGGAGACAGCTGGGCTCAACTGTCTTTCATCTGGTCTTTGTGCTCAATGTCAGAAGAAGGGTCCTAAACGTCAAATCTCTTTTAGAGTGTCTTGATGTAGGGTGATAAACTGTCAGGGTCATATCCAACAGCTTTATTTAGGGACTCTATATGCCAGAAACACCAATCAAATGACTTAGGTTAGAAGCTCTGGGTGACACAGAGACCAAGATCAACCACACAGATAATCAATAACAATGCTATGGAACCCCAGTAAAAACCTTGAGATGTGGGTGAGCTTCCTTGGATGCAAACTATGCATGTGCTATCCCATATCAATGCCAGCGGAGGAAATGCATAGGAATGCACATGGAAAATACAAATATACAAAAATACAATATAATTTCCTGTACAGAATCTTCTCAAAGTCTAACTGTTTTAGACTGTCTGACTTAAATTTGTATCTTTTTTGTGCAATAAAATAAAATCATGGGCATAACATTGACCCACTCATGTCTGCAAATCCTTCAACCAAATTGTTGCCTATGAGGTTAGTTCTGGGATATGCTCAACTTCAAGTATGAGAAATGAAGATGGCCCCCTAACTTTGGAGTTGGACTAATTCCAGGCAGGAATGAAGCTCAGGTCACCTCCATGACCTTTCTTCCATTCTCCCCAAACACAGTTCACCATTTCTTTCTTTGCCTCTCCATACACCACAACACTTCACCTAACACTGGTAGGTGCAGTGATTATAAATCCAGGGCAATTTTATTTCCAAGAATACATGGCTACCTTTAGACATAGTGCTGGTGGTTACAACTGGTGACTGTTACTGGCATCTGCAGGGTCCAGATCAAGTATGCTGGCAAACATCTAACAACACAAACAACTGTTGCATAGCAAGGAGTTCTTAGGCCCAACATGTCCACCCTGTTTTAGAGCTTTGACTTTACTCAGTGAACCCTTAGATCAGAGACAACTTAGAAAGCCGTGAGGCAATATCAACCTGAATTTCAGGGGACAATGGTTAAATAACAACTCTATAAAAAGTATTTCTGTTTAACACAGGAAAAACTACTGAGTTTTGACCCTCCAATTTCTCAAACTAACAATAGGAATCAATTCACAGGACTGTTACAGAAGAAATAAGATCATATATTAAAAACAAGTTACCAAAGCCCTTAACACTAAAATAAGTACTGGGTAACTGCTCAAATCTATGTCATTTACTTTGGCTTGCGTAACAAAAAAAAAAAAAAATTAGAAAACTGTTTTCAGTGAGTGGAATACCGATAAAAGCAATTCACAAGTTACTTTCTCTTGATTTGGTAGAGTACAAAAATTTGACTCCTTGGACTGTCAACACATTTTAAAATGTCTTCAGGGCTGCTGCCACAGCGTAGCAGATTAAACTTCCATCCGTTGTACCAGCAGCCCAAATGGGCACCATTTAGAGTCACAGCTTCTCCATTTGTGATTCAGCTCACTGTGAATGTGCCTGAGAAAGCATGGAAGGGTAGCCCAGTAGGAGTCCCAGAAGGAACTCCAGGCTCCCGGCTGGAGACCAGCCCAGTTTGGGACACTGTGCCAATTTGGGAGTGAACCAGCAGCGTAAGCACTCTCTCAGCTTCTCTTTCTAAATAAATATTCCTTTTCAAATAAAAAACAAATCTTTTTCCTCTCTCACCTTTTTTTTCTTTTTAAATCTGTCTGCTCTGTCCACGACCATTTTCCACCTTTTTTCTTCCATCCTGAGCTTATGGTTAGAATTTTGTGTGGCCAATTTCTTGAAATAAAGTTTCACAGATGAGAGGTACCATCGAGGTATTGACAAAGAAAGTAACTAACCACTTCACAGAGAAGTCAGCTAGGCAGCTGGTGAACACACGACCAGGCCAATGAAGCCTTCCTACAAAGCCCTCCTCTAGGTTCAGGAGATCGTGAAAGTCAAAGGTCTATGCATTCTATTGAAAAACTGAAAAGGTTGGGCCTGGCGCAGTAGCTTAACAGCTAAAGTCTCTGTTTGTATGTACCAGGATCCCATACAAGCACTGGTTCTAATTCCAGCAGCCCCACTTCCTATCCAGCTCCCTGCTTGCAACCTGGGAAAGCAGTCAAGGACAGCCCAAAGCCTTGGGACCCTGCACCCATGTGGGAGACCTATATAAACCTCCTGGCTCCTGGCTTTGGATTGGCTGAACTCTGGAAAGTGAATCAACAGACGGAAGATCTTCCTCTCTGTCTCTCCTCCTCTCTGTATATTTGCCTTTCCAATAAAAATAAATAAATCTTTTTTTAAAACCTGAAAAGGTTTAATTTATTTCTTGCATATTTATGTCTTCCATCAGCCTCTGGCTAAAGTGAATTCCCAGTTTTTCCTTTTCAGCCTCCAAAACCTATCATTAACAACACGACATATCCTAGAGAGTCCTCATATGCTCACAGAAAATCCATATTATGAGAAAATCATGAAGGATCTCAAATTTCTTACACTAAAATAAATTTATCTTTTCATTCATTTTCTCCTTGAACTA